TCACAGACCGTGTGCGCTGACAAAGTCACGCAGACAAAGCCCTGCTCTAACACTGCTGGCCCCATCGCCGGCTCCCAGCTGTTTGGTTTAACTGAGTGCTCCATGGGACCCATGGGGCAGGTGAAGGAAGTGGAGTGCCTGGGAGCACAGCAGGGTAAGAGCATCCCCTTGCTGGGTGCCGGCTGGTACCTAAAACGGCTGCGCTGCCCTTCCCTTGACATGTTGTGTGTTGGCTCAGGCAGCAGAGGGACCAGGTGCCCGCCTGGCACAGAATGCAGCCGCCTCGCAGCAGCTGGAAGCACGACCACAAAGGTGAACCTACTGTGGCATCTCGCTCACGTGCCCGCCCAGGTGATGGGATATCCTGGAGACATGGTTGCCACAGCCCCCGCCTACACACTGGGAACCAGCAGAAATCATTGTGGTGGGCGAAGCCAGCAGGACAAGAAGACACAGCGCTCCTTTCGCCAGGTCCTGGTGGGCTGACTTGACACAAGGACTCTTATTGTTCACCATCTCCACAATCAGGACATTAAAATTCACAACAACCTAAATATTAGAGCGGTTGGGTTTAGGCACCAGAGCAGTGCTGTTAGGGTTTGCGTTCCTCAAGCCGCCCTTCCCTCCTGGGCTGTGTGCTCAAGTCATCTCTGAACACACCATTCTGTGTGCTGGGCACTTTATGTCCCTCTAATCCCCCCTGCTTACTAGCAAAAACACTCTCATGTTGCTGAATTTATTTACGAGGGTGGCATTTAGCAAGCGGGAGCTGAGAAATAGCACAGGGCTGCAAGGAAATGACACCGGTGCCCTGCACAGCCACAGCTGGAAGCTGCGTCTCACACAGAAACGTGTCACATCCCGGTGGGGAGGGAAACAGGGCTGCACAGGCGAGGACACAGGGAATGAGGGCTACTGATGGGTGGGTGACATTTAATGGCCCTTCAGCCACCGGGGTCTGAGCCCCTGCTGCGAGCTGCCCGCCCTTGGTCCCCAGGGTGGCTGCAGCTCACAGGCAGTAAGCAGAGTTACACTCACTCAGGTCGTAAATCTTGATTTGCAAGTGGGGAAGGAGTCTTGTTCCCCGCAGTTCAAAAAATGTGTATTTTATTTCTTGTCATGAACAAGTCTAAATGCTTCCGCTCGCCCGCTTCTGAAAGGCCCGGCAGCCACAAAGCATAGCCCTTTACTCATGCAACCGGATTACATCTGGCAGAGCGGGTGCTGATGAGTGGAAAAATAAACTTCCCACGTAAGAAGAGCACAGAGTGTGGTTTGCGGGTAACTGGGCTCTCGCAGCCTCCCCTGCCTGCACCACGGCGTGGCAACAACGAAAGCAGTGGTGGTGAGGGCTCAGCTCTAAAGCAGCTTTTTAGCCAGAGATGCAACCGTGCCACGATGCCACTCATCCCTTGTAGCACAGCTTACCATTGCCCTTTGGGCCACAGCATCTCTTCTACCTGGCGCTGCCTTCTCTGAAAACTTCAAAAATAGTTTGAATGGAGCAAAATAACAAGGGTACAAACCGCTGTTCCCCGGCCTGCTCTGTTCCCTGGCCACCAGCCTCCTTTTCAGCGGGTACAGAAACTCGCTGTCTCTCCACTTGTGTTAAAAACGGAGCTTTGTGTCCATAAGCAAAGGGGTCACCGCATGCGTGGGCAGCTCCGCGCTACAGGGTACTGTCACACGGCCATCTGCTGTGCAGGGCTGTCCAGCTCACGGCCACCATGGGACCACGCGTCACTTGCCTCTTCCATCACCTGAATAACCAATGTTCTCTTCCTGAATCAGATTTTTGTATTGTGGGTTTTAGTTTGTTTGTGGGCTTGGGTGGGGTTTGGTTTTGTGTTTGATATTTTTTTTTAAATGGTGGCTGTTACTGCTGAGAGGGTGAGTGATGAGCCTGAGAGAGTAACGCTGAGCTGCGATTTGGGTCTCCCCACCACAGCGTCAGGTATGGCATTTGAGATTCTCTTGGCCTTGTCTAGAGAGAAAATGCTTTATTCTTAAAAGGATGTAAAAAACCAATACCAATAAATACCAAAAATTTGGGCCCCTGTGTTTCCATCGAAGCCACGCAGAAAGCCACTGGTGGCAGCGCTGAGGTGGACAGCCATATTCTCACTTTTGCCTGGCAGAGCAGCTCAACCTGGCAACCCAGCAGAGGGGATGCTGTTCGCAGAGGGCAGAGGGAGATGAAAGCACATGATAAATAAATGCTGAGGGCACAGCAGAGACAACCAGATTTAAAAGACGGTAGTATTTCAAAACGGGAAAAAAAAGAGCCGAGGAGTGGCAGGGACAGGGGCTGCCCTGGGAGAGATGAGCTCCTGCCCCAGCAATGGGGACAGCAGCAATTCAACTGGGCTACACCAAGAGCATGGCCAGCAGGTCAAGGGAGGTCATCCTCCCCCTCTACTCTGCCCTGGTGAGGCCGCATCTGGAGTATTGTGTCCAGTTCTGAGCTCCCCGATTCAAGAAGTGACAGGGAACTGCTGGAGAGGGCCCAAAAAAGTGAAACCCAAATATCTGTTGCCAAGTGTTTTGTTAGCCAAAGCCACCCTCTTATTACCGTCAGCTGAACAGGGACATAAGACCTGCTCTTAGCTTTGGAAGATGGGTGACTTCATAGCAAAGTGCTGATTTTTCACCCTGGGGGCTGTTTGTCATTTAATCTCTTGCCGACTGCGCTGACACACGTGGGTACAAGGCTCTGCTCCCCCCCGCCAGCTGGGCAACCAGTTCACTTGCAAACATTGCTGCAGTTCTCCATATAGAACGTCTTAACAAGGGGTAATTTTAGCTTCCTGATCTGCTGATCTCTATCATTTCTACCTCAAACTGAGTTGACCTCTGTTTCAGCTGATATTCAAGCTGGAAGGTATTACAGGAAAAGGTATCTTCCTGGACTACTTTTACGTTTCTAGATTAATCGCTAGGGATTGATTAATACTGTCCTAAAATTAACTGTGATACTGTATACCCATCTATGAGAACCCATTTGTCTATTTTCTCACAGATAAATGATTTGTCAAGAACACTCCATTTAAAAATCTCTTGTCTTTTAAAGCTTTTTTGTCTTTTTAATAATGTCTGATCATCTCCTAAATTTACTAAATTATATTTTTATTATGATTTACTGCTGCAAAGATTCTGATTTTTGTCTTCAGTGTCAAACTTTAGCAGTCAAGACTGCTGCTTAGAAGACCTCTAAAGAGCTTTTAATACTTCAGGTTTTGGGTGGCACAGAGAAAGATTTAACTTCGTCAAGAGCTTTTGTGGTGTGGTGGCTTTTGACATTGGCTCTTACTCAACTACAGTTTTCAAGCAATTAAGACTACTTTAAAATTTCATAGCTGGTTTTTATGCTTTCTTTTACAAAAGAACTTTTCCCTAATCAACGTATTATTAATACAATCCTCCAACTTATTACTTATTGTTATTAAAAAACACTCTGAACTCTATTAAATGAAAATCGATTAAGTTTTCTAAACCGCGTCAGTAAGTTGCACACACACAATGAATCTTCTCTGAACAAACCAAACTGCAGTGGAAAAAAATAAAAAGATTGAAATCACTAACACAGAAATTAGTGAACGTGAATGCCTTTCCACCATGACTGAAGAATGAAATTGGCACTTTGTTGGTTAAATACAATTGGTAATGCACAGATTAGATGAGCGATAGAACTCTCTTGAACACATGACAATCTCATAAAAAGACGACATTTAAGAACAAAAAAATCAGTCGTACTTACAATGCTTTAGGAATTAAAAACCTCATTTTCGTACTCCACTTCAAGACAAAACTCATAACCTACAAGTCAGAATTATAAGCCTAAAGAGTGCAGAACCAGAAGAGAGAATCCATACTTGTACTTTTCAAGAAAAAACTTTATTTTTTTATTAATATTCACCTGAGAAAAATTTTCATTAGAACAACATTCTTGATGATATTTCTGCAGCGCTAGTGAGTTTGATATACATTTATATCACATGTGCAAAGAAGGCATTGGGATATTCGAAAAATTTGAAAGCTTCATCTTGAAAGAAGGAGCTTTGTCAGAATCAAATATAAAACATAAGTACTGCCTAAAATTAAAAAAAAAAATAAATCATACTGGTCCACAAAATGGTTTTACTTTTAGCTTTACAAATACATCTGTAAACAGAAACAGCTGGTGTTTTAAATAACCTGATTACAAAACTCAGAGTTAAATATTTTTATTGCTAAGTGCAGCTATTTCTTCTCCTGTTTACCACTGTCACTTCAGAAGCCATGCAAACCAGCAGTCCTTCCCCTCACACAGAAAATAAGTAATTCTCTGTGCACTAAAAGTTACTCACTTGTTAATTTTAAAAACATACCCATTCATTAAATAATTATTTTCATTCAAAGTGTTCCATGACAAGCTAATATATTATTAATTCGTTCACCTCTGCTGCTAAGCTGTATTGCACCAAAAATATTTAAATCTGTTTTGTATAGACGAGGGATAGTGAAGAAACAGATGGCCTCTAGTAGTTTATCTGAAAAATGTTAATACTTTTTGTAAACTCATTTTAGCAAAGCCATTGCTAACTGACCCATTTATCTTGAAGACACTTCTTTATCACAAGAACATATAACTCACAAAATGATATAGCAAGTGATAACTAAAAGGGTATTACCTATCGTACCATCAAGATATTTCACATTATATATATAATGTAAAATATATTTTTATATATATAATTAACAAAGTCTAAATAATATCAGTATGCCATATAACATGAACTCTGTTACTGAACAGAAAGACATGCATTAAATTCTAGAGATTAAAAATGTATACAACTACAAGAAAAAAAGAGCAGCAAGTTTTAAATGTGCATATGATGTTAAAACAAAATAGAGTTCAAACAGTCTGCGTAAAGACCCACTTCAACCCATGCAAGTCTGCAGAGTTCATACATCCATCTCATACACGAGCTGTATGCATGCAATCAACAAATTTTAACTTCTTAAAGTTCATAAACCTTTTTAAGGCTCTCAAGATCTTCCAAAGAGTACTGATTATTCTGGGTTTCTGAAAGTAAGTCAAACAGCTGCTGAACTTGTTCTTTTTCATTTTTGCTAAGAAGGGCCAGCACCACCTGAAAAAATACATTATTTTATAATTAGCACGGGCTGATTGAAAATTGTAGTATGTGACAGAGATACAAAAATCAGTGTATCATTTCCTTTTAAGATATGAAAATTTCCTTTCAGTTTCTGTTGAACTTAAGTACGTATTCAATCTAGGTTCTTACCTTAAATCTTTCTGCTTTGCTCAAGTAGAAAAGGTGCTGATATACAAGGCCAGGATCTTTTCCAACTACATAATATTCCAATGACTGGACAAAAATCAAAAAGATTTCTCCTTCAAGTTTGTTACTTAGCAGCACTGGCAATTTTTTTGGATCAGTAATTGTTAAAAGATCTGCACAAGCAGCTTTATCCTTACTGGTATTCACTGCGTTTATAATCTGACCAAAGTCATAAGCATTAGATGGTTCAGAAATACGCAGTTTCTCAGAGGTCTTCAATGGCACACTGTTTTGAACTGCTTCCTTCGAAGTAACATGATCAGTCACAACATCTTCTGATGTGACAAACTGCCTTTCTTCCTGTTCATCAGATTCAGTCACCTTCACAAAGACAATGGAACAATACATTTTAATGTGGACATGCAGATAACCTGAAGCTTCATAAACTGCACGCTTATATCCACCAATAATGACGCTAAATTAAAGTTAGCATTTTACTCGTTGTGAAAGAAAGGCGCCTATGTTTTTTTATGTCCTACTTCCCCCCAGAACAGTACCTCTCTAATTCATCTTTAAAGGTTTGTAGTCAAAAGTATTTTACATTTCCTTTCACTGCTTGTCACTCCGCTGTAGAAAGACAACTGAGGACAACTGGGAGAAAGCTAAGGAGGACGGTATATATATATTAAATGTGAAGCTGCAGAAGACAAGCAGAACTGAAATCAAGTCACCAGATACCCACGTTCCATGTCACTGCTGTGCCTTCAGAATAGTACAGGTATCCAGCAGCCATATCAGGTTGCTGTTGGGAGTCTCGCTGTGAAAGGAGAAAGCTCAGCATGGTCTAACTGCCTGAGTACCCACTTAACTTCTCCCGAGTTTGCAGCCTGTGCTGAGTTTCATGAATCGGTCGCTAGAAAATTAATCATGGGTTCAACTACATTTGCTAAAATCCATTTCAAGCTATCAAGAGTTGTGGAATTAATATAAACTGACTAAATTCTCATTGAACGCCGTCTTTTCAATGGATGCCAACGTTTTCGGAAAGTCTGAACATACTGTACTGCATAGCACAGGGTTGTGCTGCAAGCTAGATTTGTCACTTTTGGGCAATACTGCATTGAGCTTATAGACATTTTGTTCTATTTTTTCAACAATCCTTAGTATCAAGAGAGAAATCCTGACTGTCTTACATAGAATTCTAGCTTGATTAAAATGGAATAATAATGATAAATCCCAGTTTCTAATCAAATTTTCCTTTCTCCTCTTTGCAGTTTGTGTTTACAGAACTACCTTGTACTACAGCAGATAAGACAGGCAATGCTAAGGGGGTAGCTGTAATCACGACAGCGAACACAAATGCTTCCTGCCCCACCCCTAGAAAAATTACCGCTGCCAGTAATGTAGTTAGCTGGTCTCCAAACAATGCAGTCACTTCCCAAACCTCCTCTAAACACTCTCCAGGTCCCTTTGTTTGTCACAACTCAGAGCTTAACTAACACTATACCCGGCTTACAGTAGTTACATAAAATCCCATGAACTCGTGACAATGTGAAGTGTTTCGACAGAACAAGTTGTTTCTGTTAATAATTGCAGTTTCCACTACACCACCATTTTGAAATTACATTATCAAATTACACTATCATTCTATGGACTGGTAACTATGTATTTTAACTCTATATTTTAAAATTAAAAGGGAGAAAAACCCCATTCTTAAAGGACCAGGAAAGCTACAATCCAAAAATATCAAATGACTGCGAAAAATCCTTTCATTGCTTAATTCTACCCAGAACTCTGCAAGGCTAACATTTTGATCCAGTACGTAACATTACATCATGTGTTTCTTTTATAAGATCCTACAGATGTTTTACCCATACTCTTGCTCTTTAAGGCAGGATTTCATTCTTCAGACCAAGAACTTTTACTACTAGCGCAAGAACTGCCAGCAGCACGCCTGCTGACAATGAACCTTTGCCAGCACAGCCCCAGAAGCTCCCTGAGTAGCACAAAATGTAAAAGCAAAATTGCTATTTGACAGCCACATTCCGTAAAACAGGTATTTCAAAGCCTAAGCCGCCCCCCCCCCCCCTTTTTTTTTTTTTTTTTTTTTTTTTTTCAAGGAGCATATCCTCAAGTTTGATGCGACGTAAATGCACTTTTTTCCATTTCTGGTGTGGTTCTGAAAACTCTTCGAAGCAGTCCAAGCTTTACTATAGAATGTAATGGACACTGAACATATATTCAATATTCCTCCAACATGCCCTCAAAATAACATGAAAAATAAAACCTCACCTCCCAAAAATGTACAGCTAAAAAGTGCAAAACAAAAGCCTTAATATTATCTCTTCAAATCTGTGGGTTCTGTAATGCTTGCTTTTAAAAATGAACAGGTATACCTCTTGTATGGTTATTTTCTTCCTTTGCTTTTGTTGACTGCCAGCTACAGCACTGCTGTGAAGGTTAAGCAGTTGGGTTACCTCCTCTAGTTCCTTTTTTGCTTCAAGAACATTTGGATCTATTAGAAGTACTCTGTTGAAATCATCAACACTGGCTTGATAATTCTGTAAGTAGAATGGAAAATGATTTTTTTCATAAGCACACCAGAAGAAAAATAAACTTGAACTACCATACTGTTCTTTACAATTAAGAAAAATAAAAATGCTAGGATCTTGACATTAGGCATACAAAAATAATCTAATACAGACTGTAATTTCATTAGAGGGGAAAAAAGGAAATTGAGGATGAGTTTGATTTAGTATTTTTTGACTAAATACTTCCGTATTAAATGTGTAATATGAAATAATTTATTCTGAGAAACATATTCCCTGTATCAGAGAATGTATTATTGAAGACTGCTGCTTTTAAGCATAATTGCTTACAGTGCTAACACATCCTCAAAATTAATATAATATGAGTCCATCAACGGTTTGCATACTTGCTTTGCCAATAAAAGAGAGTTAAATTAAGCATGGATTAAAAACACACCTAATCTTTGTGGGCTTCAATCCAATAGACCAACTCCTACAGTCTGAGAAGGGAAATTTTTGGTTATACTTGAGAAAATTTGGATTATGTTATAAACTCTGGGATAAACAGGACTAGAAGGACGAACACAGCAACAGAGTGGCATTAGGACACAGTTCCTCAATAATCAGTCTTGTCATTTGTTTAATGTTTTTATTTCTAATTTTAATGTTAAGAATTATGATTTTTTACACTAAATTTTCTGGAGACACAGTAGCATCAATTCTGAGGAAGACTGGACTACCACATACAAAAATCAAAACATCTTGAGGGCTGGAGTATAAAAAAAAAAAAAAGAAATGTAGCAGTAAATAGAAGACCGTGCAGACAGTAAAAGATCAACATAGAATCATAGAATGGTTTAGGTTGGAAGGGACCTTGAAGATCATAGAGTTCCAATCCCCCTGCCATAGGCAGGGACACCTCCCACTAGACGAGGTTGCTCAAGGCCACATCCAGCCTGGCCTTAAACTACTCCAGGGACAGAGCCTCAACATAATTTCTTTGTGTGAGGGACCTAATATTTCTTCTGTTCCCAAGCAGTATCCTAAGGTCACTGTAAATCATTCATTATCATGAAAAAAATCCTCGTGTACCAGTTGAGGTATATCCTCAGCATCTCATCTGTAATAAAAGCACTAATGTACATTCACTCATATTCTCTTTCCTACATGGAATATTTTGTTCAATCCTGATGACCAGTATTCAAGGTGCAAAGAGAGTGCAGGAAGTCTGTCAGTGAACTAAAGTCTGCTATATCATGGAAGAAGAGCAAGAGAATTAGAATTATTTAGCCTTACCAAATGAATGCAGAAAGGGGGCAGATTGCTTTCATCAGAAAACAGCTACTAACTAAGCTAAACCATTTAAATTACAGATGTGAAGATTCACAACTACAGAGAAATGAGATTCTGCAACAGAATTCTAAAAACAGTCACAAGGGTCAGCAATCAAACAACCGTCCTGGATTTAAAATTGCAGCCTGCCAGACTTCTTCACAAAAATCATACGCAATGGCTGCGCCCAAAGCAAGAGACTGGACTATTAGCTGTAGAAGATGTGGTCTGGGGTCCTGTGTCCTATGTTACAGGCCTAATTCATCACACAAGCATGCTCTTTTCCTGATCTGCCCTTTACTGAGATGTAGTTAATCTATAAAAACCACTCATTTACTACATTAAATTCCACTGCAGCTTTTGTGGCTAACTATCTGGATATTTATACACAAATAACACTTCCCAGCTTAGTCAGGACTTTGCCAAACTATGTGCTTTTAGCTCTTAAAATTTTCATTACAGAGACAATTGTCAGCCTCAAATCACTTGTGTTGCTTTCTCTGGTTTCATGAATCACTCACATCCCTGGAATTAGCAATAACAAAAGCATTAAATCCAACCACAAAAAAACATTTTGAGAGTTCCCAGATCAGACTGTTCTGAAGGAATCCATGAACAGTGCATTTCAGGTTATGTCTTCAGTAATACAAAAATAGCATTTTTTTCTAGGATATTCAAAAAAGCAGAAGTTATTTCTCCAATTCTTGACATTCTTCACTAGTGTGTGATTCCCTTTTTTTGACTGGTAGAATCATTATGTACTTTTGCTCACATTTATACTAATTTTTTTATCCGCTTCAGCAACATAAGGTTACAGATGATTAATACCAGGTAGCTTGGTACAGTTACAGAAAAGATTTTACACAAAATTAAGACTTTTCACCCTCTTTGAAAATTAATCAAAGCAAACTTTCAAAATTTCATAGCTACTGTAACAGAGGAACAAATTTATCACAAATGAAATATCCCATGGTCCCTATGGCTTGCACTTGGGATCATAGCATTGGATGAGAATAGCACAAACAGATTGTCCTCAGGTGATTTGTAAGCTGAGAGACAATCAGGTAATTTTTTGTTAAGGCATCAAACGTAATGAAGGTCTGAGGTAAGTATTCATTTGACGGACACTGCTGAAACTTCGGGGATGCTTGGAGTGATCACCTCCAGTTACAAAGAGCAACATAGCAGAAAGCACTTAAGATGCTTGTTTAAAGACACTTGTCAAATTTAATACAAAGTAAATTATAATAGCTGCCATCATGAGCCAACAGAAGGACCAAGCTTATAATTCAGTAACAGTTAAGAGCTGAGAGGTAGGGTAAGGATTGCTATGAAAGAATTATGAAGTATAGAGGCTAATTAACATCACTGAAGAAAGGGAAGCAACAGAGGGACAGACAAAAGGAACGACATGGTTTAAGTGATGGAACACGAGATTTGCAGTCACATTCACGATGGATATAAGTCTCCATTTATGACTATCAGCTAAAAGGACACTCAAAAAACAGTGTGTAAGATGAGTACAGTACAGACACCACCACTACTGTGTAGATGGAAAGGAAAAGGTTGAGCACCAACACTGCCAACAGAGTGAGAAAGCAGGTTACTAACAAAGGTTCGTAATGTCTTTGGGGAATGAAGTGAGAGAACACGAAGATAAAACCCTGGTTTAATATGACAAGCACTTAAATATGAGCAGATGCCAAAAGACAGCTTGAGATTGTAGTTTGGACAGATGAAGACAGACTTGGAGAGAATCGGTTTGTCATCAGTAAAGATACAGTAAACACCCTGACAGAAAAAAAACAGGCTGGGATACCCAGAACAATATTAGAACATTAGAACAGCGTTGAAACTTGCTTAACCAATCTCCAGTCAAACCTCATTTATTCCAATATTCTTGTATTTTCTCAAATTATTACAAGTCAACGTGCCAGTTTTTATGTTGCAAAAATATTTATATAATATTTTATGTATGCCTAATGCTCTATAAAGTAATAAATCATCAGCACTGCATACTTTTTATTCACCCATTTACTGCAACTGCCTTTGAAGAGGATAAGCAAGTTTAGAAGTGCTTAAGAATACCTGCCATGCTCTTTTTCCTCACCTGTAATCCTTTGTACGCTAGTGCTCTTCTATAAAAAGCTTTAATATTAGAATCTTCTATCTGAAGAACATGATCACAATCTTGCTTAGCCTCTTCATATTTATACAGTTTCAAGTAACAGAGAGCTCTAACACAGAAAAACAGAATATACTGCAATATAAGTAAATTCTACAGTGCTGTAGTGCCAACAGTAACTGACTCATAAATGTTCATTACAATACTTCATACAATTCAGACTCAATGTGGTATCTTTTAAAGTACATCAAACCCAGTAAGTATTAATAACATCACTGGATGGAGTTAGAGAGTGCCAATTTCTCCACTGAGTCAAAATTCCAAGTATGACTAATGCTTGAAGTTAGGCAGATAAGCAAGTATTTTAAAAGCAGAGCCTATGTTAGTATATGATAGTACAGCAGTTAATATAGTAAGCCATTCTGGGTACAAAAGGTGCTCTAGATTAACTAAGCAATACTGCTTTCTGCACCTAATTATTACTTGGAAGACTCCTATTCAAGTACTGGCCTAATCAAATCCTTCTTAAGTTTGTGAAAGCTGATAAGATTACAGAATAAAGAACTATGCTGCAGAATTAGGTCAACCTTTAAAATAATGCTGTTGCATGACCACGTTCCTACTTTTATTCTCTCAAAATGTACATTTTCTCTGAATTATTACTCTTCATATTTGAGATACTGCTACTGCATGTTAGTTTTTAATTAAAATCATACCAGTATTCTGAACAAATGCTGCAAAATGCTATGCTAATTGTAACTTTTACTGTTGCTTGCTCTATTTATATAAAGATTTTAAGATACGTGTCAGTGACATTAATACTTGCTCCCCTTGGAAAATAATGCAGTTTAACAAAAAAATACATTTTGTTATTAGAAACACTCATCAAGTAGGAAAAAAATCCTTTTTTTTACAACAATGGCTGAAGGGATGCAAAAGCTGTATTTGCAGTGAGAAAATGTTATTTTTATCCCACAAAGTGGGGTTAGATTTTACATCTTTACCTGTTAGTGTAGATCGTACATTCCTCGGTATTTAACTTCATGCATTCACTGTATTTATTTACCGCTTCTTCATATTTACCCTTTTTTACAAATTCATTCCCTTCATTTTTTAATGTCTTGAACTTCTCCTCAGCTTTCTCACCTACATTACAAAAGGATCAGAGTGTTACATAAGAAGGTCAGTTCATTAAGGGTAGCTGAATAATCTACCCAGACTCAGAATAAATGCCTGGCAATTGGAGTATCTTTTCACTCTGCACATTGCCATTTCTGTCCCAGATTTCCCTGCTGCACTAAGAAATAAGTAAACTAAACTACTGTATCTACACTTGGCACTACACCTACTTCCCCACACACCAGGGTAACTATTTTGCTGAAAATAATGGGAATGCAACAGACAGCTCTACACTTTCACCTCCTTCATTCTACTCCCTCAGTGTGGTAGAGAGGGACTATGTATCTCCACTGAGATACCAGTTTTATTTCCAATGGTCGAGATTTAATCAGCAGGATTAAAGGCCTTCTAGATCTTTACCATCACACCGAGGTGCCCATAATTTGGTCTACTACTCTTTCTGCAACCAACTATATATCACAACTGCTATGCTAAACTGACAATGACATACAAATCATCACATCAGTAGGGGTTAGTGATACATCAGTAATATTCTATAAATAGCTACTTATAAAAGATGCTTTGAGGAACCTGAAAACACCTAACTATACTTTTTAAATCAATATTGTGTTCTTCCATAATTGTATTTTCTTCTAAATTCCACATCATTTGTTGCACACGCTTCTGGGGTAGACTACAATTTTTAGTGACGTTTGCAGTGGAAAACCAATCCTGACTGCAGTTTCATGTCTGTTGTGAGCAAACAATAATTAGTAACATAGGTCTAAGTAAATCATAATGGAAAAATCTACTTTCTGTACCTTGCTAAAGAATATGAGCCCCTTGCCAAGCTTCAGGTTTTAAACACTGTATATAACCATTATTTTAATTATTTTAACCAATAATTAAACTCGGTGAGTTCTTTTATAAAAACATGGCAGTCTCCTATGGTGGAAAACTACATGTGAACTTGGGGAAAAAATTCAGTAATGACGTGAAACCAGAACAGATGTATGCAAGAAAGACAACTAAATTATAACTCAAGTTGTAAAACACAAAAAACAACAGACAATTGTTGCAAAAAAGTGTCAGCCACCAGTAAGTCTTAACTACTGACTGAACATTATTGCTGGCACGCTTCTGGCACCAGCTATCACTGTCAGGTCCCACTGGTTTAGTACAGGCCCAAGAAGGAAAGCACAACCTTAGAGTTAGATCCCTTCTTCAGGGAAGAAAATGGTTAGACAGTCTTCATTTAATATTTCTAAAAACAAAGCCTAAACAAAGCCCACTTTATTTGAAATAGACTAAGACATGTTTTGCAGCAAAACGCCACAAGAGCACGCTTCATGAAGACAGCGGTGGCCAGTTTGTTAACTTTCCTAACAGGCTAAACACAATCACTAGTGTTCTCAGGAACCACTTATCTATATACTTTTCACTGCAATGATCTTCTAATTCTCTCTCTTGACAAAGTTACACAAGGTCATATAGATCCAAATTTACTACTTAAAAGGTTTAAATAGGTTGGTTATACATTGAAACAAAAATCCAACAACTTGTGCTCCATAATAACAGAAAAAGCCTGGAGTACAATCAGTACAACAAAAAGCACTTTCCAAGCAAAGCACTTATGCTTAATAGCAACAATTGTGCAAAATATCCCTTTTCTACTTCATTTAAGAAAAACCCAAGGTTAAACCCAATTGCTACCTAATCCTTAAGAGTGATTAATCAGTAATGACATACGCTGACAACTGTAATGAAAATACTTGTCACTGGACGTTTTAAAAAGTAGATTAAAATTTGTATCAATTCAATTGAGCTTAAATTATAAACGTGCCTCATGTTTCTTCAATGAAAAATAATTTTCTGCAGCGTTACTGAAGTTTAATATGCACTACTATTCAAATTGTATGTAAACCACACTACTACCAGTTTCTAGAACTTGTCTTATTCTTGAGAAAATGTCCAATTCTCATAAACACACATATTTGTAAGTTGTCTCTACATCAGGTACAAGTAAATTCAATGCTATCTGAAAGATAATTTTAAAGTCATTAAAACTGTAGTGCCCAAGAGCACAGATTATTTGAGGACATACATTATTGCAGTAATGCGTTACGGACAGATAACCCTATCACTGCTACGTATTTGGCCAGCAACCCAGTTATGCATTGCAACCTCCCCTGTATTAAGTAAGGGGAGATTATCTTCAGCACTACTTTTCTTTGTACTGAAATAAACTCAAAGTTGAGTGAAAAAAATCATACAGTTCAGGCCTTTGCAAAAAGAATATTTCATTTCAATAAATACTGAATGAAAAAGCTTCCTTCACCTGATTTACTGGAGGAGAAAAATGGGAACTGCAAGGAAGCGGGGAGAGGAATCAGGAGGGAGAAAGTTTCCTAAAGGAGTTAAGCACTCAGTGCTTATGTGTAAACAAGTCCAGAACTAACATCTTTGCAAGGTGACTACTAAATGGCCGCTGTCAAAGTTAGAATCCATCCTAAGAAAAACATAAAAATCAGGAGTGTTCTTCTATAGTCTGTTTCACTAACTACTAGTCACCTACAAGTCTACCCTTTCTATTCTGAAGTAATGCTTTCGTGGACAATTAAATGACAGCTTCAGATTATGCAGCTAATTATGTTACTGAGTTTGGGTGTTTGTCTGGGTGGTGGGGTTTTGGGCAAAACTGTTTTATAACTATAGTGTGATGTCAGGGAAACTACTGATATTTGTGACAGCACTCAATATACTGCTGATGAGTATTTCTGCTGTATTTTATTTTATATAACTTCAGAAATTATATGCTGCAAACCACATCACTTCGCTTAAAAAAATTTATCATAACTGTGGCTCTATAAAGCACATTAAACCCAATCAGGTAAAAGACCATCACCTAACTGGCTTTTCACAAGGGTCTCTGATAAATATTTTCTAAAACAGTTTCTTTGACATTATTAAATCATATTCCAGTTTTCAATTAAAATGATTTTATTTTTTGTATATATATTTGCATTAGCTCTACATACGATTCATCTGCAACTGTTCTTCTCTGTTGATATCTGTAGTACATCTTGGCTTACTGTCTGAAGTAAAGTTTCCTCCATCCCACCTGTGTAGCTGAGCAGCAACTGGGACAACTGGAATCGGTGGCAGTTTCTCCCTCCAACTGGGACCATCCTGATCTATTAAAGTCTTTGTTATTCTGAAAGAGAAAAGCCCCACCAACATGACTTTTCATATCTTTAACTCATGCTTTAATAACTTACACCCAAAGTAAATAATGCAATGTTCCAATTTTTCAAAAAACAACTCAACCATTATCCTCAGGACTAATTTAAAAAAAGATTGTCACATCAGTCAACTGTATTGCACTCATTTAAGATTTAGATTTTTTTTACTTTTTAGAGTATTCATGCTAGCATTTAGATGACAAGAGGCTGACTTCAGCATGATCTGTAAATATTTAAGCATATGATTGATTTTGCAACTAAGCTCTAAACACTGCCTACCACATGCAATAAAGAAATAGGAAAAAAAATTATTTATTTTGTTTACTTTTCTCAGCTGTTCATAAGTATTACTTGTAACAAGTATAGATTATAATATCCTCAGACATAGTGTGGTACATAAATTTGCCAATGTCAAATGAAACTTCTTACACAACAATTCTCTAAATAATCAATGCAGGTCACAAAGTAGGTATTAAGTTGCATTTTATAAAACAGTCAGAAATTCATCAATCAATCATTCTTTATCCCCATTTAAAAATGCTAAGAAAATATAAAAAAAATTGTTTAGTCTTTCTTAAACCAACACATATATATAGGTCAATTATGTCTGTACATGAGAGGTTCAATGCAAAATCCATTCAACTAGGAGTTTTTCATTGCTGTGATACGTTTTGGAGAAAGACCTAAGTAAACATAATGAGCAAAGCCATACAAGACTTCATGATTCCATTACAATTTTTGTAGTGTTTTGTTGGTTTTGGTTTTTTTGTTTTGTTTTTTTTTTAAACCAAACAAATATTAATCAATTATGAGAATAAGAGTAATAGATCAACGTCTTCTAATCTCAAAATGAGCTTAACAGTCAAGTTCAACTGGTGATAAGTGTAATGCCTACTTTCACATAGGAAAACTCTAAATTGAATAGTAAAGCAAGTCACACTGATGCTATAGCAAATAAAACTTAGATTTGTATATTAGGTGCATTTTCACCTGATACAGGTATAAAAAACATACTACAGGAATACACACCCAAAAAACCCTCCCAAATTAAGAACACAATGTGACAAGGCTGTTTGTAGAGCTATGTAATGTGTGACTTTATGTATTACATAAAGTTGCATGAAACATACCGTTTCTTGTATTTTTGAATTGAAAGTAACTTTCTTCATACACAGAATATCACATTTTGTAGTATTATCTAGTTGCTTTACTTGTTCTCTAGGTGAACAAGAAGAATATTTTTCTGTGTGTTAGTTGTATATGCCCTTCCATGGGCTCTCCTCTACCTGTGTCATTCCTAAGCAGTATATTATAGGACATACCAACAAAGCAGCTTGTCCAACTTCTGTTTTGCTCTAATTTTACTAAAACTTCAGGGGTTTTAATGATAGTCTGAATTCAGTTCATAAGTAAAATGTGGCATACCATCATAAATTAAACAGCCCTATGATTTACCCAGGTTGTTTTATTAGAGAACAAAACTGTACGCTTTGTATTAAAAAGTCAATTCATTCCATTTAGGTATTAGAAAGTAGCAGAATAATTCTACAGTAAACCACGGTCCCACTGACTTCCTGTTTAACTTTTCTCCATTTATCATAAATGAGCTTAAAAAGTTGGAGAAAAAAACCTGATTTAATTCATCAATATAAACAGAAAGGCTCCTGCAGTATTTCACGATCAATCAACTTCTTGTAATACAATAATCTAAGCATAGTCGTTTGCAAAAATGCATACCTGAGTGCCATGATTAGTTTAAAAAGTACAGGTATCTCATGAAAAAAATGGGACAAATACACTCATTCCCTACCACTAATACCCTAACTTGACCCAACAATCCTGCAGTTTTGGAGTTCATCACAAATTTCTTTGTACAAAACTCATATGGGACTTTGTAACAGAAGTTCCCATCCTATCTAATGCAATTTGTTAACTGATGTTAAAGGAGTTGAGATGACTGGAATGAAACTCCAGTTTAGTAAATGGAAATGCATAAACGTATTGACCCACACAGAGCTTCTGCATTTCTAACAGCAAATAATAAAACACTCACTCAAGAAGAAATTAAAGTACACAAAGTAGGAAATTCATTGATGTTCACAAAGGTAGGAAAATGCCACTAATGAAAAGCGTGCTTGAAATGCATTCTCCTGTAACTTGGCACACACCATTAAAAGAAAGTCCGTCCAATTTATCTAAAAATCACCTCAGGATAACCAATAAAAGACACAATTTAATATCATCTAATCCACACGATAAACACTCAAATAACTGTTTATACTTGTTTTCAGTTGACTTCATAAAAATATGTACTTACATTCTTAATTATTTCCTTCTGATTGCAAAATGATCAAGTAAAGGCTTTATATTAAAAATTCTACTTGTCTTTTACATGTGAATTATTAGAAATATTAGACTGAATACTTGTTCAATTCTAAGATTTTTTGGAAAGCCTGCTTAGTTAGGTAAGTACAGAAAGACAAGCCTTAACACGATTTGTCAAACCTTCAGACACAAGTAGGATGATGAGTTTTTCATGTCAGCTTTCTACAGCATCACCACCCAATTTCCTGCAGGAACTTAAAACCAAAGAAATCCTCCAATAAAAGCAGACTGTTAAGACCTAATATTCCTAGTATTAAAAAAAATTAAATTACATTTTGGGGTTGTCTCTTGCAGTTGAAAGGCAGCAGAAGAACTACCATTTTTTGTTAAAATTAATTTTAGAAAGGTCTGTTACTTTGGAAATGAGAATGAATACTTTGGTAAACAATTTCAGTTTAATTCATAAATGATAAAACATTAAAAAATAAATTATAGTAAAACTTCGATTATGCAGGAGGTCTATGCTTTAGAAACTAAGAATTTGCAAGCAAAAATGAATTACCAGCAGAAGAGAAGAAGGAAGAAGCAGCTGAAATAAGGTTGCCAGGGAGGAAAGAGTAATGAGTAGTGAAGCTAAAAACATAAGGAAGGCCTAGAGAGGAGAAAAGGAAGAGTGTTAAGGGGAAAAAAAGGAAATAAGCTTATTACTAAGCAAGTTACAAGTCAAGGAGAAATATGAAAAGAGTATCTGCAGATAAAATAAGCCAGGAAGATTTTAAAAAAGTATAATAATCACACAGATACCAGGATGAGCAGTTATCTCACCAATCCATTTGCTCTATTATCAGTGGAGATACAGGAGATCAGTAACAATTTGTTGTGTTATCAAATATAAGATTTCTAAGAGGAGATGATAAAGCGTCATGATCTCCATTGGCCACCGCCAGTCAAATATGCAGAATTTAAAGATATTATGGACTTTTTAATGAAGTAAAAATGTAAGTGCTCGTGGCCTTGCCTTAAAAAGAAAAAAAGGTACTGGATTCCATTGTTAAAAGTTGCATGCATGTGGGTTCCTGCTCAATGATTAATGGCTGTTCTGCTTTCATAAATACTTTTCCTGTCCATTAAAAGAAAAAAGGAAAGAAAAGGGAAAGGAAAATCCTATCATTCACGCATTTAAGTACTTACTACACATTAATGAGAACACAATAGTGTGTATACACTAATTTTACACTATTAAAATACAAGTATAGCAATTGAGACATCTCTCTTGGCAGCAAGAATTAATGTTGTAAGTATTAATACGTAAGTTAAAAATAATATTCAATTATATTTTTTACACCTCTAAGCTTTGTAGCCAACCACTGTATCAAGCTACTTCACTGTTTACACAACTGCAGCATACAGGTTTCACACTTAACATAAATCTCCAACTGCCACAGGAAGACTGCTAATACGAAAAGGAAAAAGAAATGTCAGAGAAAAGGTACGGACCTTAAAGTATTACTTTACATGGTATCAAATACAAGTTAGGAAACAAAGCAAGTTCAAACACCAGTGAAAAAAAGTCTTTAAAATACTACATTTTTCAAACAGAAAGTGACCTACTGCTCACAGAGGAAAACTGTGAAGCTATGGGGAAACAACTAAATGAAACAGCCAGACCTGTAGTTATAAAGCACTAGTTGTGACGACCCTGACACTGAGGGATACAGAACAGAGGAAGCACGTAAAACAAACAAAATTGAATTCTACTTTTCTATTTGGATGGATATCAGAAAAATTGTAAGAGGAGTTACCTATTAGCGCTATCATTTGCTGCTTGGATGCTGCTGTCTATTTGTAGGACTGTTTTATAATCAATGTATGCCTGTCGATACCGCTCCATAGACTCATTTGCCATTGCTCGTCGTAGAAGAGGCTTAAGGGAAAACGGTTGAAGCTCCAGAGCTCTGGAGAAAACAAAAGAAGAAAGCAGGATTGAAACAGAAATACACAGAATTGTAACTGAAATAATATTAATAAAACTATTTTATGATATACATGACTATATGTAACAACTTTGTGATTTCCGATGGGCCTTGCAGTAACATAATCAAGGAAACCAGGACCAAGTGGTGTGTATTAATACCCTAAATGACATGCAGTTATGAAATTGTTAGTGCTTTTACTACAACTTGCTCTACTCAAATCCCTATCTTCCATCTGGAAAACTGCTTTCATCACCAAGAAAAGATTAATGTAACGGCAGCTGTTTAAAAGCAAAAGCTATTTTTCTTAAGTCATGCCTAGATCTACAGATTTCAAGTATATGGTGCTTTTGCCTATATGATTTTCAGTTCTTCTTCCTTACGTGGAAGTATGTATGTAAAAATACATTTAGTAAGACATGAATATTCACCTGTCTTTTTTTTGGCTTTTAGTTTTTTGCCTTTTGTCTGTTTATTCTTCTGATTGTGTGCCTCACCAACACTGACCTCAACCCCTGACACTGTGCAATTAGAACTCCTTCCAAACACCATGTTCTTTTCCAGCAATATGAAGAAGCAGTCCACAGAGACTTCATTTAAGACTGCCTTTTATTAATCAATGATTCTTGCTAAAAAGAGAGAGACTTTGAAATACTGAAATTAAGATGAGTCTAGTCAATTAGATTTCACGGAATCAAAAAATAATTCAGGCTGTGAGATCCCTAGTCCAACCTTCTGCCAGAAGTAGGGTCAGCTCTGAGATCAGCTCAGTGCTTTATCCAATTGGGCCTTGAAAACCTCCAAAGGATCTCTGCACAACATCTCTGGGCAACCTGTTGCAATGCCCCCACTGTTCATGGGGAAAAGATTTCTCCTAATGCACAGTCCAAACCTTCTGTAGTTCAATTTTGGCTCTTCTTGTCCTTCCACAATGCACTACAAGAAAGAGCCAGGACTCTGGATAGTCTCCTCATAGGTACTGGCAGGCTGCTGTTAGGACCCCTGGAAGCCATCCTCCTCTTAGCTGAACAAAGCCAGCTCCCTCGGTCTCTCCTCTCCAGGCAAGTGCTCCAGACTTCACAACCACCTCAGTGACACTTCACTCAAGTCACTCCAGTTGATCACTATCTTTCTTGTACTGGGAAGCCGAAAACCGATACAGTTATCATAGATGTTGTCTAACGTGCTGAGTACAAGGGGATAATCACTTCCCTCAATCCCCTAGCTGTGCTCCTCTTTATGTGCCCAGGAGGCTGTTGGCCACCTTTGCTGTAAATTGGCTTTGCACCATTACTGCTCCTAAAGCTAGAGAAACAATGATTTCTAGAATACACATTTCCAATTTCCATTTCATAAATATTTCCAACATTCCATTTCTGTTTACGTTGCTGAATGCATCTGAAAAACACAACAGTGCACAACATCTTGCCCCTACAAAACCTCTGCAAAAATGCTTGAGATTCTGTAACTTAAAAGAACATTAATGCAATTTCAGGTTCCTAACATCAAGAATGAAGTAAAAACCAACCATAAATAAATTCAGGGGAAGACGAACACTGCTTGAAGAAGCGCATCAGTGGGAATGGAAAACTACATTTCCAGGGTAGAATGCAAAGATAATACAGCCAGGTACCAAACCACACCACAGTACTAAATAAAATAACATTAATGCATAGGAGTTCTATTTGACTGTCTGTAACAAGAATCAAAGGCACTCCAAATCAGAGTCTTGAGACAAAAAGAAATCCAACAGAGGGGTTTTGATACAGTTCTAAGCCCTAAATAGCTAAAACTTAGTAAGATATAAATGCTCAATACTTATTTTTATATCATGCATATAAGCCCTACACAATTTTTATTTTGCAATCAAGTAACCTATTCGTAGATCATCCCTTATGTTGTGTTACCTAGAGAAGATTTAATTGACATTGCTTAATTCATGTACGTTTGCAGTTTTGCAGTTCTGCTTCCCAGTCTCTAAATTATTTCTACCTCTGTTGTGCTCACTTAGCATCATGGATCCTTGTGTATTCAGAAAATATGCACGACATTAAGGACACTATCATTAAGTAGTAAGGAAATAAGCTTCCAATTGGTAAGAACACAAAACCCAAAACCATTGTATTACTGATTTCAGTTGAAGTCTTACATACTTCAGACCTCCTGAACATAAAAATATGATGGCTGTTAAGTATGCCATCCTGTTTTATCAGCCAGCTGTCTATGGTCCTGCATCTGTTTTAACAAAATATTGTTAACAAGTAAATTTTTTCATATGGCATTTTCAGAAAACTTTTCTGTCAGGTAGAATATACACAGTAAGTCAAATATTTGGTTGATACAAAGTTACATGCATATTTTATTTTTAGTTTTGGGGTGGGGTTTTTTAACAGTTGGGTTGTGCTGTAAAAAAATGCAACTAATTAATAAGATTTCTAACTGTCTTGGGATCCTTTTTTGCACCGTAAGCCTCAATCTTACTAACACTATATATAAAAATATAAAAAAGACATCTAGAAATACAGCAATAATATAGTGGAACGCAGTGTTTGGAAGTTATTGAAGGTGCCTGATACTCTCTGACTCTTGTATAAAAGCCACAATATGCAGAAAGGATTTTAGCTCAATTTCTGAACAGCTGTAACTACTGTTTATAACTACGCCAATTATGTATTTTAAAAAAACAAAATAAGTCAACAAACCAAACACAGAAGACAAACACATATGTGCCATACACGATTGAAAGCAATTTCCAACACTGTGATAAGCATCTGGCTTAAGAAAGCTTTTACACCTGAGTTACTACAGAGCATCACTGAAGCAAGCCTGCTTTTATATGAAAAAATTTTAACCCTGCTATGCATTTCTGCATACACAAGAAGCCTAATACCTGCCCTCACGCAGTAAGACAGTAACTTAAAAGTTACTCCTTTCCTAGGTTCCATGTGACTGTTTACATAACTGACAAAGTTATCTGTCATTTAGACAGGGAATCAGACTTTACTGGATTGTGCTAAGTCAAACTGCAATAACAATCTATCAATTAAACTGTTTAATCATCATCAGGAATGTTGTTGCTCTACATGGGAGGTTGCAATTTACCTGTTACAATCCTGAATGCAGTCACTGCAGTTGCCTTCTTTGAGGTAACACGCTGCTCTGTTTGAGTACAAGACACTTAAATCATCTGGACTCTGTTCTCCTAAAAGAAGTTACAATTAAAATCAAAGACCATTACTACAATAACATGCAAGAATTAAAGACTTGCAGACTGTAAGGTGCACTGCAGTGATGCAGTTTGCTGACAATGCAAAGCTGTAAGGAGCTTTCCTTTATCATGTCCCCTAGAATATGTTGTTATTCAAACACATAAATAAAAGCTAAGAGCTCTAAAGACTATTTTACTCGTCTTCCTATATTTTATACCACGTGAATTATCCTCTACTGACAATGACAAAGAATTTACTGCACAGCAACTCCTGCCAAAAATCCAGGTTAGTTCATTTGTAGTTCCTTTAAATAATCTAAACAATAATCCTAGATTTAAATATAAGGTTTTGCACTCACCTAGACCCATGACATACTCAATTGCCTCCGAGTATTTGAGCACAGCTTCTCCAAACTGTCCACTCTTAAATAACTCGTTTCCTTCACATTTTAGTTTTGCCGCAGTAGGAGGAAGTGAAGCAGAACTGCCACCACCAGCCGACCCAGCTCCTGCTCCGTGCGATCTGCAGATCTCAGCTTCGGGGCTTTCACCCTTTAGATCACCCTGTAAATAGCCATTAACTTCACCTTCATGGTCCGACAAATGCTTTTGCGTTTTTTTCTGTGATGTGCCTTTTTTTAATCCGCTCTCAGTGGATTCCTTCTGCTTCTGCGTCTCTCGGTCTTCAGCCTTACTGCCGCCTCCTTTGCTGTGAAACTTTCTCTGCGCGTTCCCCATCGCAGCCTCCTCAGCCGCCGCCGCTCCTCTTACTGGCACGCCAATTTCTACAGGGAAGTTAATGAGCTGAGTTAGGGCTTGCATCATCAGAAGAAACTATCGTCCTGGCAAAAGAGGGGTGTACTGCCAAAGAACACGGTACCAAATCCTCCAGGCATCTTAATGTTAGGAAGATTTATTTGCCTCAGAAAACACTTTCAAGAACACAGAAAAATTCCTACTTACATGTCACTTGCAATTATCCCTGAGAACATGTGAGTGTGAAATCCCATTGCTCCTTGCTGGGCACATTGCGAACCCCTGTTCTGTAGTGTCAGAATGGTACAGAGTTCACCTTGAAATTAACTCTTTAAATACTGGCTGTTACCATACTGAGACTTTGATTTTCCGTGACCAAATCAGAATGCTTGCATGTTAAAATTAGAACACACAGCTAACAAACCACTGATGGTGTACACTTCAAAACTCTCCTCAAATACAACATAGAATAGGAGGGATAAAAGCTTAAACATCATTCTCAAAAAGGTTTCATTTAAACATGTCAAAAAGTCTTTATAGAGAGTTCAGATCATTCAATTTTCACTACTATTATTAAAATAATTAGGAAAAAAACATACAATAACGGTATCAGATATTAACATAAATAATTTCCTTATTCACCTGAATTCCTAACAGATTACCACCATAGTATTCAAATACCGATTTCAGCAGAACGCCTGACTCTTGATACTACCAGTCACACAAAGGCAACTCTGTTTTCGTACCATGAATTAAGATGCTGGGGTTTCACCTTCCCTGAACTTGATGTGCTCATCTGTCCAACAGAATTTTTGCATGCCCTGATATATTGGAGTGATACGTCCCAGTTGACTCAAACCAAACTCCTGAAGTTGACTGAGCATGTATGAACTCCAGGTTGTTCCAAATTACAGACTTTTTTTTTTTTTTAATGCACAAAATGTTACTGAAATCAAACTGAACAGGTTAGGAAAGAATAAGATTTTAGAAACAACAGATTCTCTAGTGCCTGATAGACAAAAGCTCCAACTGTATCCTTCCTAGTTGTGTTCTCTGTTTTGAAATACTGCGTTTAGTAAGTTCATACTCCACATTGGGAACAATGATAGGATAAATCTATTCTACCTACACAGACATTTTAATAAAACTTAAAGTAAATTACTTATATCTGAGACTTCCATCCATCCATCCATCAAATTTGGCACTGCCAAACATGCCAAAAAGTCTTAAAGTCTATTTGGTAGGGTGGATGAGGGTAAAAGGCTAGCTGGGCAGATGAGCGAAGACACTAGTACTATAATAATTTCCTTAGGATACATGCTAAAATACTTTTATGTTACATCCACCAAAACAGAGAATACTCTGTATACCTTCTACTACACAAAAAAAAAGGAAAAAAAAATTAAATATCACAGACAAACAGGTGATAGGACAAGTTTAAAAAAAAATTCTACAGCAAAACACTATTGAAAAGCATCCCAACTGCTAGAGACAAAGAAAAAGCAAGAAAGGCAGATAATGTGCGATGTGAATGTGGATGTCATTAATATAAACGTCAATTCCTGAATAGAGGAGAAAATTTCCTGGAGACAGGAGATAATTTCCTGAAGATGAAGTGCACAGAACCAATCCTGGATTAAACAGGAAACATTTATAGCATTTGGAATCCCCCTGAAAATAAGAATACTCATAATTAACTTGTTTAGCTGTCTGGTTATGCTAATTGCCTAAATATTTCTGGACTGAGTAAACACCATGCACAAAATTGTACAGGTATATTTCTCAAATCTAATTCTTCCTGTCTTTCAGTTTCGGTGTTTGTAACATAAATGTATTCATGAAAGCTGTATTCTGAGCTTTACCTTAAAAAAATAATCAGCGCTTATGACCTTTCTCAAAAAGACAAAAAGGTCTAGATGCACTATAAATTCCAAAGACAAGTTAAAAAAAGGTACTGAAAAGTATAGATAGGATTTTGACCAGAATGACAACAAATACAAGCTAGAAAGAATTCATATTAGTACTAAAATAATGAACTTCAAGTGGAAGGACTGTCATAAAACAAAAGCCATTGAATACTCCAAAAGGAATATTTGAAGTGTGGGGTTTTTTTTAATGGATGACATCATCTTTCATTTAAAATTAATTTCCAGCTACACAAAGCATTTATTCTCCAGAAGCATGGTGCAAAAATAGTGGTGGCAGAATGAAAAGCAACATATCTAAGTTCAGTTCACAATGAATTTGCCTATTATGAAGCCAGAAAACATTTTCAACTCTTTTATCTGCTACTAGCTACATATGAAGGCAACTGGAATGGTCCAAATCTCCACAGATTAATTTTTAATAATTTTAATTAATTTTTTGCTTTTGTGCCACACACGGACAGCAAATATGTTTTGTATTATGTATTCTCAGTTTAGCTGATTTAGATTGTACCTGGATTGTTCTGAGCCAGAACACATAACAAACAGACTTCTCAAATAACTTTGATCTCTGATTGCTTAGGAGCAGTCTTTGTTCATAAAGAAAATGATTTACTGGTCAACATTTATACTGACACTGTAATTGAGGGGTTTTCTTAACTTCAGGATATGCACTACAAATGCAATTCTAGATTTAATTTTCAACGCTATTTCCTTTAATATGATCTAAATTCTTATATCGCTAGCTTGCAATAGAGCCTAAAAGCCACAGTAGGTTGGGCCCCATTGTGCTCGACATTATACAAGTTAATTACAAATGACAGCTCCTTCCTCAAAGAGTTTACAATTCTAAAAATCAAAAATAGCAAATGAACAAGCACACTGGAAAGAGGATCAAGGAATACATAATAACTATTATATTGGATAACAAGGTGGCCAAATGTCCTCATACAAGACCTCATCAGTAAGGCTTCTAACCATAAGGAGAACAGACACAGTCAATTATTCAAGGCTACAATGGCAAAGAAACTTCCTATTACAGTCAAATTCTAGTCACAGAGATTACTACAAATTAAGATTTCCATAGCTGCAAACTCATATATGGCATAAAGGCCAAGTGAGTGAGGATACAGAGCAGCCAGTAAGCAGCAATCAAGAGATAACATCTCAGTTGTCTTAGAGTCTCAGTGGTAGAGGAGAGCAGAAAGCAATACCAGGAATGC